AATAATGGGATCTTAATGCCACACTGATGCCTTGTCTGATCTCTCCTAAGCGAAGTCAATCTCTGCGATCAGAGAAATTCTCATTAGTCGTCTTATTCACCCTGTTCCTATACTATACTATGCCATGAAGTAGTTTCATGACTAAGTCATCTTCAAAGATTGGAAGTGCTGTTCTCCGATATTTTGATGGCGGCGAAGTCTTTTTATTCAAGATGACAGGTGCTGTTGCCCATTTTAACAACAGGAACCATTTTTACAAATAAATAAATAAATAAATAAATAAATAAATAAATAAATAGAAAAAAAGAAAGAAAAGAAAAGAAAAACGTTCGCCCGAAATTTGATCTCAACTTTTAGACTTAAATTTGACCAACTACTGCTAAAGCTAAATTATTAGTAGTCGACTTTAATATAGTTTGTATTGGTTGCATTGGTTGGAAGCGCAAATAATATCTTGTTGGTTTTAAAAACAAGCGCAACATTGCATTTGATTACACTTCTACTGATTTGTCAATGTAGAACTAATTTCAAGTTAAAGGTCAAGCGAAAAACAAGTACCAGTAGAGAGTCTAGGCCTTTACAGGTTAGCATTTTTTTTTTTTTTTGGGCGGGGGGTGATGGTGGTGGAAATACATAGGCTTGATACATTCTACCGCTTCACAAAATGACGGGTCCACTTTAAATCGGATTGACGAGAAATGTATCCCTTGATATGTGGCCATGCTATATCCAAATGTTTTAACTCAAAATGCAGATAAATAAATTTTCGCGATTGACCTTAAACTCTTACCAACAATAGTCCATGTAAACTGCACGTAATGAGATCTCTTAAAACGCTTCCACATTATTTGGGAAATTACTTTACGGCCATTAAGCCCTAAGCCACTGGATTGATCTTAATTGTTTCCTGAATTGGAATGTCCAACCCCTATTTGCCGACCACAGAAATTGATATAAATTGAGGGGTCGGCTAAAGGTATATCATGAGCGTTGGCCTTTAATATAACAAACAGGTTAATTTTCCTGGAAAGTTCAATAATCTTCATTTTATAACCAAGGTACTGTATATCTTAATTTAAAACCGCTGAGAAAATAACAGTTTAAATATTCACTTTATAAACTTCTATTTTTATTGTCATAATTGTAATTCAGACTTTTCTGCCCCGTTTTGTAGGGTAGCTCAACAATGTGAAAAGAAAAAATAAATAAAAACAGCGAAAACGATCTATTTGTGTAAAAAAGTAAACTAAGGAATATTGTCTGTCCATTGTGAAGTGAGTTTACAACAAAGATAAAAAGTTGATGTCGAATCATTTCTTTCAATACTGATAACATTTGTTCTTATGATATTTATATTTTTTATATTTTCTTCCTCAGGTACGGCTTTGCAAACAACTTCTTTGGTTTGGTGTCGATCACTAATCTTTCTTGCATCGCCATTGACAGATATATCGTTATATGTAGACCAACATCAGGTAAGATTAGCTCTGTCTGTCTGTCCGTCTGTCTGTCTGTCTGTCTGTCTGTGCGTCTGTCTGTCTGTCTGGCTGTTTGAAGGTATGTCAATCCTGCTGTCAGCCTGGTCTGTGTGCCTGAAATATAACACTCTCACTCACACACAAACACACACACACACACACACACACACACACAAACGCGCGCGCACACACAGACACACACACACACACACACACACACACACACAGAGAGAGAGAGAGAGAGAGAGAGAGAGAGAGAGAAAGACGAGGTTTTTGCCTTCACTTAGTTAAAAAATATCTCCACAGTGGAGCAACAGGAGAAGGGAAAAATTGACATCAGATAATAGAAACATACACACACGCTCACACGCGAAAATATAGATAAATGAATAAATAAATTAATATCTTTCAAAAAAAAAAAATACCATAGTCGCATAGTAATTTGAAATCAGGAAGACAGTCGGCCCCTGCACTTGCAATGATTGCATATTTTACCCTGGCACAGAAAGCAGACAAGACAATTCTAAACCGGGTGAGAAACCGTATGTCTTTTAGACAGATTTATTACGCTGTCAGGAAACAATTTATTCTTGGAATGTCAAAGTAATGCAATTAACTGATCATTGGCAATCCCAAGACAAGCTAGGATATCAATCAATAAGTAGCCCAACACCGATTTCAGTATGATGTAAACTTCTCCATACTGAATTGCATGCTATTCACGAAAGTTTACGCTTATGTGCACTGTATAATAGATGTTATTCTGAAAGTTGCAGTAGAGCTTAATTTTTCAACACTGTTTGGCATGTGTGATTTGAGATCCTGTGTAAAGAAAGACCCTGTCACACCTATAGCGTAAAGAGGTACTTTTGAGTATCGTATGTTATATCACCTTTGAGCGTATGAAATCACCCTGTTTACGGTGTATTAAAATGAAGATGCAAACAGCGTATATGTTTTTGAACATGCTCAAAACACTTTTTATCTTCATCCTGGTCTGTGAACGTACAACAACGTCTGCCTAGAACGTAAGTCTAACTAGAACCCCCTTTCGTTTGTCTGCGTACGTGGAATTTTTCTCATACGTTAGTGCCATACGCCAAGTGTGACGGTAGGCCTATATACCTTGACAGAGGGTCTGTCCCCTTTAGATTCATACAGGTTGAGGTTAACGTGACGTAAATGGGTCAAAATCAAGACGGGACTAACCTGTGCAAATCGATGGGGATCAAACCCTGTATCATGGCGGAATTTCTCATACAACACACCGATACAGTTTCACGGTTCCGACTCTGGAAACGAAAGCAAAATAATTCATTACTTAAATTCAATCTATTATTGGTATATCTTTAGATCACGTAGAGTAGCAATGGGCGTATTGAGAGAATAAACAACTGACAGTTTGATAGTATTGAGTAAGCGAAAAATAGAACGCTTTTTTATAGTGCCGTAATAAATTGTAAGGGTTATTTTGGACAGCGTAATTTACGTTATTTCTGAACTCGCTTACGTCTGACACACGTTGTCTTAGGTTATAAATCGGAAACTAGTGTATCTTCGGGTGGGCGGGTAAACAAATCAGCTGAGAGTATTGATCAAATCTTGTACTTTCCTTTCGATCACACTGCTTTACAAGATTTAAGACTCACGAAACAAAATAAACAGAAGTTTTAACAACGCAATTCCAGATTTGAAAACTTTAAAAGTTAAGTTGGTTGTTAGTCATCATGATCACATTTAGGGACCGTTCACATGCAAAATCTATTTTCTAAAAATCTAAAAATCTGTTTCCGCCTCTCTTTGAAACCTTATCCTTAGGGTCTGTTCACATGAAAAATCATTTTTCTAAAAATCTAAAAATCTATTTGCGGTATCTTGTGATCACGGTCTGTGCCTTGAATACCCCGCGGCGTAATTACTGTCAGCACGAGCAAGTTACTTCCAAAGCTGTAATTACTTCTCGGCGCTGCCAGGAATTACGCCGTGGGGTATTCAGGGCACAGACCGTGATCACAAGATACCGCAAATAGATTTTTAGATTTTTAGAAAATAGATTTTTCATGTGAACAGACCCTAAGGATAAGGTTTCAAAGAGAGGCGGAAACAGAACCGAGAAAGGGAAGTGAGGAAACAGCAGGACACGAGACTGACTCTTCAGTGAATTTAAAACAGCTTAACTAAGGGGCTTTACAATATTCTCTTTCACATCTTGAGAAATGCACTCGTGCTCAGACAAATGCAACGGCTTCGTTAGACTTATGTTGTATACGTTATGCGTAGAGACAAACGTTATATGTACCTTCCATAGCCTGAGGGAGAAAATGTCTCGGGCATGTTCAAAAACAGTCTCATAGGTTGCATATATCTTCATTAAAATACGCTGGAAACAGGGTGGTTTCGTACGCTCAACCTTGTGAGTATCATCGAAATCACATACGTTACTCACAAATCGAACATGAAGGCGTGCAGGAAGGACACCGGAAACGATCATCATCTAGTTGATGCCGTCCTTTAATGAGCTCTCCCGGGAGGCGGTGGGTATTAATAACTGCTCTTTTGTTACGTACAGGGGGGATTTTTGGAAATGACTGACATGTATCATTAGACGCTTTGTTGACAATTAAAATAAGAATTGAATCGTGGGAGAGGTCCTTATGAATAAGGGCAATCATGGAAACGTATTAAAAACATCTATGGATATGACGTAAGTTATCATGAACTGTGGCGATATATTTGAATTCCCCCGACCTCTTATTATTTGAGAAGATTGAAAAATCCACCTTCTTGTTATTACTTCAACAATTTATTATTTGAGCAGAATGATATTTTTCAAAAACATTTTTGAGAGTTTCTCCTATTCAGGTATTCTCCTTTTCAGACATGGCTTTAAAAATAACTTGTGAACGGCTATAATTGAATCTGAGAAATAAAAAAGCTCAATGCTTTTAGAACCAAATAATCTGAAATATCTATATAAAAATAAACACTAATTACACTGGGGTTTATTGTTGAACTTATTACTTTCAATGCCATTGTGCCAATACTAATAATGAATAAATATGACTCTCAGTATATCTAATTCATTAGAAGGACCCAAGCTTCAAATCTGTTTCCCAAAATTGTACGGTTCCAATTTATTTCTATATACGCAAATCTGCACTGCGTTGTCATTTATATGGTTGTGTTTACCTAAAGTCGAGGTCAAAATAGATTCCTAGGCGTGAAACTCGAAACTAAATAGAGGTTTGCACGTTGGATCTTATTATGTGTTGACAGGAAATGAGAGGCCGTCGAGTGGAAGTTTTTAAGTGTCATGATAAAGAAAGGAAATATAGTACAAAACTAGATTTGGTAGTGACCTTTAGCGATGTCTACCTCAATTCTCCTCATCAAAATACAGAAACATCTATGTATTTGTACAGTACAGTACAATACGAAACAAAACAATTCACATCAAGATGGGCCAGGACGATGTACAGTGTATGTGCGAAAATGATAAAACTTTTTATATGGTTTCTAGGCATGCGCTTGGATATTCGAAAAGCCATCCAGATCGCCGCCGGGGCATGGCTCTACGCTCTTCTGTGGGCGCTGCCCCCCGTGTTTGGGTGGTCCTCCTACACCACAGAGGGGCCTGGGACCTGGTGCAGCGTCCTCTGGCAATCCAGCGACCCCATTGACGTCTCATACATCATCACCCTGTTTTTCTTCTGTTTCTTCATTCCGGTGGTCATTATGGTGGTCTGCTACTATCATTTGTACCGGGAGGTGAGACGCATGGCCAGACAGACGTCTATTGAGCAGGATTCTTCTGCTGGTAGAGAGAACATACGTAGGTAGGTTGACTGGTTTAAACAGAAACCTTCAACATTTAAAATTAGCCTTTTAACGCCTGCGCAGACTGCAGACACGAGGTTGATAGCTCCATGTTCTTTGTTTGTTGTGATTGGAAACGAAAATTAAAGGGATAACAGCTGTTTATATGAAATTGAAAATTTCACAATAAATACGTTGTAAACAACATACATTCTTTATGTATAATTTCTAGAATAAATTCAACAGGTGTAATTGTATTCTGTCTGATTTCTGTCTTTTTTGAAGAGGTTTTATTTTCTTAATAGGGAGAAGAAAGTGGCCAAAATGACCATCGTAGTTTGGGCAGCGTTTCTGATCGCCTGGACGCCATACGCCACCGTTGCCTTAATATCAACATTTGGCGACGCCAGCAGTATCAGCTACATGGCAGCCGCTTTACCGTCGGTGATGGCTAAATCCGCCACAGTGTATAATCCTTTTATCTACGTAGCGATGAACGAGCGGTTTCGTCGAGCAGCAGTGAACGTAAGTTTGTTAATTTGTATATTGGAAATAGATGTCAATCAGGATATGTGGAAAATTATTTGTATTCAAGGGTTTATTTTATGGGCTTATGGTCGTCGCCCATAATGTTAGAGTAAACAAAAAAAAAAAAAAATTACCATAACGGGCGAGACCTTGATGGGAATTAGAAGAAAAAGGAATCAACCGTATTCAATACCATTATAGTTGGGCATTTGGTGAAAAAATTTGAATTGTTTTCATTTATGGTATTTATGTAATAATTAAATCGATTATATACCTTAATTTTGGTGGCGTTTTTGGCATTAAGTGACATATTTCTTTCATACATGTATATATCTCTTTCCTCCATCGACCCTTATCCTTGTGTAGTTTCGTATAAATCTGCAGGAAAAACCTGAAAAAGAATGAGAAAAAAGAACGAATTCAAAGCAACAGAATCCAACATAAAAATCATTTTTATGTTTTCATTCTGACTCTGTCAAGCGTACATTTGTAGCACATTCGTGTTACAGGGTATAAGCTCTTAAATTAAACATTGTTTTCAACCATATTAATATTTCTTGTCACGTTTTATGTTTTTTCCACTTTGTAGCAAGTCCCATGTCTCAAACTGTTAATAAAGATCGACGAAGACGAGGGTGTGGCAGAGCAATCGGACAACACTACTGTGACGCATGCCGCCCCTGCTGTACAGTTTACATCTTCAAAGAGGTCACCTCCCATCCAGGCCATAGCGTCTCCGTACAGGGTAGACACAGCTTCGAGTTTAAAAACAGAAACAGAAACAAAAGCTTCAACACACGGAACGGCACAGGTTACAAATATTGACGTCATGGAAATACCATATGACCACACGCGTGCTTCTACGTCACGCGCACACCCACTTTGATGTTGCCGCCGAAGAATATTTTGTTTCTTTTCTTTTCCCGTAGAACTTGCATCGGTTCCTCATTCTACGTACTAACTCCGCACGAAAATGCAGTAGTATCGAAGTAGCAAAAAAGCATTAACGCAGTAGTGGTGTGGAGCATATTTGCAGTAGAAATGCAGCATAGCCTACTGCAATTCTACTCCAAAAAGTACATAGGTTTGTACAGAGAGGAGCATTAATGCAGTAGATTAGCAGCATGATAGAAGCATGTTTCAAATATGCTAATTAGCTCCCAAATCGAAGCAGATTTGAAGCATGTTTGCAGTATGATTGCAGTAGTCTACTGCGCTGGAGTATCTACTGTGCTGGTCACACCCCTGATTTTTGGCGTTAAACCACAAAGTCTGCAAGATTAATATCTGGAGTTTTGTATATATTTAACATTGTGCTCAAAGATAGAGCGTGACTCGGCTAAAGTTAAAAAGCTGTTACAAAATCATTCAATGTTATATTTTTCACTGTTTATTTGGAAAAAAAGTCCATTATTTACACACGATTTTATCATTTTAGTGTTGTCTGTTCCCAAAATACCTACTTCAATTTCACATATTTGTTGTTGTCAAAATATTGTCGAATCGCCAACTGTTAATTACATCTGACTACAAAATAAGGCAACTAACAGAGGTCACTGGCATCAACAGGAAGAGATTAACTGAAGGTGAGATACAAAGAAGAATTCTGGTACACAAAAGGTGTAATTAAAGTAGTTGTCCATGACCCTGGCCAATGCCACTGATTCTCATTTATCAACACGTTTTTAGATTTGCTCTTTGAAATGCTACCTTGAAGTCTCTTGATGGGCGGATGAATGTGACACAACCAGTTTATTGCTTCACACATCGAGCTACATCCCTCCGTTTGCAAGTGAACCCAGTATTCTTGTTGATGGGAAAAGGAAACGATTTGCTCACACCTCGAACCTATATACTCGATGAAACCGAAAGAACTCAACGATGTAATCTATGACGTCAGCAAGGTGACGATTTCATAAGGAATGGCAAAGATTAATCCAGTGCTGGTACGTTTTCAGTGACGTCATCGATCGGTTAAAGCTAGAACCTAGAATGAATTGAAATGAAAATAGCCTTTCCAACAGTAATATACCCTTAACACTACTCAGTCACATTCTGTTAATTGATCCCATGGAATTGCCAGATATTATCCGGTCAGTTCAGGATTAAAATTAAGAACTGGCGATAATGGAAACTTAAGAAGCTCGCAGGCAATGATACTAAATAGGCAATGAAGGCGTATCTTAATCCAAGCAACCCTTGACTTAAAGATAAAAAAGCTATTTGTATGTGTTTTTTATCTTTGATATACGAAATTCCACGGAGATTGATGAATGTTTAAATATGTTGTATTATCTTTTGGTACAATATAAACACACGTACATAGGATATATATATATATATATATATATATATATATATATATATATATATATATATATATATATATATACTGGTACAAAATGCCAAATAAGATATTAAAACAAATAGCCAAGTGTTATTATTAAGAACGTTAGGTTATATACACTTTTAGCCTAAATGCTGCTATAAAACGAATATACTCAGAACTGGTTGTTATATTATTGTCATATAATCTTAATGGACTCCTTGTGACTCCATACAAAGTACTAGTATTGTCATTTTGCTGATGACGTCATAGCAGCGGGTTTTGGTGTTCCCTGTAAGCTAGAGAAATCCCAACGGCTGATAGGTGCTGTGCTAATAGAAGCTGTGCTTGCTTGCTACAGGGTGGTGTGACCGAATTTCTTGAAACTCCTCCTTAAGAAAGTATTACAAATTTCCGCCAATTTTCAATTGACTTCTGAAAACAAAACCGGGCCAAAAGATGTTATCAAAACTCTATGCCTATGACTGTTCTTCATACCGTTAAGAACTACACGGATTTTGGTGATATTATCTGCAGCACTTTGGAAGTTATCCTAGGAACCGACTGGTATTGTTTGTACACCCAATTAGACGGATGCCCTTCCTGGCAGATCAATAGGTAAAGCGAGGTAAACTCTAAAGACATAACCAGTCTTATCTGTTATCGATATGTTGATCAACACAACCCCTTTGTATACTTCAGAAATAAGTAACCCAATAACGCTGCCTATATCAAAAGAAATACTGGATTTCGGTTACTTATTTTTTGCTTAAAGCAAACTACCCTATACATCAGGGAATATAGCCTTATCGTCATTTATAGGTATTTAAGGTCGTTGACACGCTATATATATTTTTTTTCAATAAAATGATATTTTCTAATTGGTTGTTTCCTGCCTAACCACTAGCCTCACGAAACAGAAACATAATCCAGAAATAAATGCCAACGTTATGACATAACGCTGCACGTACGTGTGCTCTTTAGGGGAAATAATAGAAAGATGTATGATGGTACCTTCATTGTCAGCAAATTTAACCAATTATTTCCCACTGCCCATATCAAGCAACCTACCTCAGCACGACTGTAGAATGCACCACGCAGGCATTCAGAGCCAATCCTATTCCGATACAAACGAGCATACATCATTTATCATATTAATTCATTATTGGTATTTCGAAAGGAACCTGTCGTATGTACATACAAAAGTCACTCTGCAAATTTGAAGTAATTCAAATCTCCTATGAAAATTATGAGATCATGTTGATTTTCAAAAAGATCCTTCCTTATTTACCAAAATTCTCAAAAAAAAAAAAAAAAAAAAAAAAAAAAGCCAAAAATAACTTGCTTTAAATTAATCGGATCATGCCGATTTTCGAAGGGAACATGTCTTATTAACATGTTAACACAAACAGCAAATTTGAAGTAAAACAAATATATAAGTGCGAAAAAAGAGCTCTGCAAAAATGTATCTCTTGAAACCTGGAAATCGGACATGTATAACGTAATGTGAAAGTGTATCTCTGGAAACCTATAAATCGGACATGTATAACCTAATGTGAAAATGTATCTCTTGAAACCTGGAAATCGGACATGTATAACGTAATGTGAAAGTGTATCTCTGGAAACCTATAAATCGGACATGTATAACCTAATGTGAAAATGTATCTCTTGAAACCTGGAAATCGGACATGTATAACGTAATGTGAAAGTGTATCTCTGGAAACCTATAAATCGGACATGTATAACCTAATGTGAAAATGTATCTCTTGAAACCTGGAAATCGGACATGTATAACGTAATGTGAAAATGTATCTCTGGAAACCTATAAATCGGACTTGTATAGCCTAGTGTGATGTCATGTTAGAGAACTGTGTGTAAAGGCTCATGTTTATCTGAAGAACTTTTTACGTCTTTTTATACAAAGTTAATCCATGTTAGACCTTTTCGCTATGCTTAGGTGCTACCCAAAATGTTTTTATACTATTACACCAGCGTGTTAATAATGTGACCGTTTCATGTTAATTACTATAGTATGTAACCAGTCAATTTATTTATTTCAGTTTATTGATGATACGGACAGTGACAGCGACGGCGACGAAACGGACAGACACGGTAATCAGAATATGTACAGACATATACGTATATAAAAGATAAACGCATATGCTGGCACAAAACACAGACACGCATATGTCACGCAGAATGCTGTCCACACTCTCTCGCTCTCTTTCCCGGTAAAACGAAGTATTTATCAGAAATGCATGTAGCTCCTTCAGCCTGGAGGCTGAAAGAATGAGATCAAACATATCGTATCCCTTTCAAGGCTCTTTTATAATTGAACGCCATAGACTGGAGATGCTGGTGTCTACTGGTGTGTGTGTGAGATGACTTAGACGATTTAAATATCTAGACTGAAAACGTCCAGGTAACGCTTCCAGAGTATTACAGTATAATTGGGCCATTCTCAATATGAGAGAGAGAGAGAGAGAAAGAGAGAGAGAGAGAGAGCGAGAGAAAGAGAGAGGACACTAGCTTCCTTAAGAAACATCAGGTTACTATCAATTAGACTGTCAATTAAATACGACACGAGGCTCGCACAGGTAAAAAGGTCAACGACATTGCGACCTACAACGACCTTGCGAACCACATTCTGTCGGGTATTTACAAAACACTACAAACTTTGGCCTAAGAACAATCGATGGAAATTTTGCCATTGTTATAAAATGCCAAGGGAAAGAAACCGTGATTGTATTAATTCTTTACCACTCCAATGCCCTTGATGCAAGTAGTAGAGATCTCGAGTCCTAATGGCAATTGATTTGTAAGTGTATACAAGAGCTTAGCCAAATTTCTTTATTATGCTAGAAGTAGTCATTTTAGTATATCAGTGGTTAATAGCACACTTATCAATAATTACATTTCTTTTGTCAATTTTCATCTACCCACGTAGATGTATACGTTACAATAAATAAAGCAAATAATCTTCAAGTTGAAATTTGATAAAATGTCCCTTTTTTCTGTCGGACAATAACTGAAACCTTCTCAATTGATTAAATTTCTCATAGGCAGGATGACTACAAAGAAAAGTAGATAACACAATATTGTCATCCCTGTGAACTGTCTCTGACACGTGGAGATAAAGTGAACGGGGCAATACACAGATCAAAATCAAATCTGGATAAAAGAATGATTAACTGAAGCTAGTGAGAAATCTCCGAGCAACGACGTGAACTTATGTGACATTACAACTGCTATCGCTCTCTGATCTTGACGTCTGTCCGAGCTCGAGGAAGTAAACTGCAATTTGACGATCGCGTGAGGACTGCAAGTTACATGGGCATGAGCTTGCAGTTGTTCGGTACGATTCTTACAGCTTCAGTTCTTCATAATACATGTATATCAAATGCAAGATCTCATGGAAGTTGGTGAAACTCTCCAGATCAAAACGTATACAACTATCCAAATGATTTTATATTTAGAATTTCAGCAGAA